CAGCTAACATTCTAGTTAACGATAGGCGATACATTTCTCTCGGACACAGCAAAATGTTCCCTTCTGCACGTATCACATGTCACAGAGGAACAATTTTAAAGCAATATTGCTTTTCTTCCGGTGTTGAGGTGTTCGCATTGAAATCCATTTTGTTTGTATAAGCGTATTCATCTATTGCCTGTCGGTTGCCTCCCGTTGATTGGTGCCAGGTTCTTTGCTATGAATAAATACTACGCAACGTGACGTCATAATCGCACCTATTTATAATTTATGAAAAGGGAATGTAGTTGTCGGCTTTAATATGCCCCCCCCCCAAACTGAATATAAAGTTTAGGTCTGCATGTACTTCCGGAAAGTTCCAGAAAAATTGTATTACATTTGCGTGCCCTATTTTTCTTAAAATTACCGTAGAATTTTTATAAATGCCAACTTTTATTTTGTTCCATATTGGGACGTGTACTCGTTTAAGAAGATACGAATAGGTTAGTGTACCAACGTATTCCTCAATAAAATTCATAAAATTGGCATTATTGAAAGTAAAGTTGCCCTTGGGAAGAATAAAGCACGTATTATGGAAATGAAAGATGAATATAAAATTTTAATCGGAAAACCTGAAGGCAGCAGATCACGTGGTGGGAGATAGAGGCGTAGATTGGGAGATAATGGTAATGTAGGTGGACTTTAAAAGAAATAGAAGTATGACTACAAAGACGGAATTCACCCGGTTCAGGATTTGGACCAGTGGCTGGGGCTCTTGTGAACAGGGCTTTGTAGAGGACGGGACATTTATTGACTAGCTGAGCGATTATGGTTCTCTTCTGGGTTGTAACGCCGTGTGGTCTGGCGATGAGTAACCACGGCCCTTACGATGAAATAAAGCAAGAGCACTTCTGAAACGTCGGTAAATTTCCACCAGACTATGGCGCTACAATCCAAAAGACAGCTAGCTTAGTACTTCCCGGCGTAAGAACCTCAAATCCCGTTTAACTCAGCGATAATCAGCTTCTTAAGAAGGTATCTGATCAGTTGAATTTGCAAGTTAGGGTAAATAAATGAAGGAGGTTACAATTTTCTGGGTGTACGAGTGGATGGGCTCCTGATACGCAAGAAACAGATACAAAGCTCTGATGTGGAAGTCTTGTGCCAACAGCCACTTAGAGACGATGATGTGTATGATGGGAAATAAAAAGGTTATTAGAATGTTTTTTGGACCAACCTATTTGAAGCCTAGGACGGGGTTCAGCGAAGATCTTCAGCTGTGGCAATGACACACGCTTCAGTGTCACGCGTAATCATCGTACCTTACGTGACGCACGTGCGTAGACATTGAGTCAGGTGGCCAGCCGACCTTGAAACGCAACAATAGTGCGATTATGGCGCTATCTGTCTAAGCCTCGCCGCTGCGCAGCAGCTGATCGCGACGTCAGTTCAAAAAATTTCTGTTCTGAGTACATTGTAGTCCAGAGGGACGGTTTTCAGTTCTGAACATTTGCATCTAAGCAAGAGATAGGGCCACGTTTCGGCTTTCTTGTTGACTCAGCAACAGAACGACATGACCGAGTGTTCAGAATTCATGTTCCAAAAGTAATGCACCATGTTTTTAAATTCAATGTTTATTTTACAACTTTGCTATTCCCGCAGTGGATAGGTACAGCCTTTAGGAACAAAATGCTACTTTTCAACTAAGTCTCTCTCAACTGCCTTAAGCCATCTCAGAGCAAGGGCATGTATGATGGGTGTGGCAACACCACCTCAATTTTGTGTTCGCCTCCGTGGGACCCACCTCGCACAGACCTTAGAAAATCCCAACTGTTCCAATATTCTGCACACACTGGCTTCTGCAATGTCCATTCGGAGTGACAATTGTGTCACATTTATGCGTCTGTCCGTCATGATCATGTTGTTCACCCTCTCAACATTGGCGTCCGTCCGCGCTGACTGTGGCCTGCTGCTGCGAGGCAAATCGCGAATGTTTCCATGTCCACCTTTGCCTGATGTTCTTTGTGCCCAGCGGCTTACTGTGCTGCGATCGACAGTATCCTCCCCGTACACCTTCTGCAGTCGCATGTGAATATTTCCCACCGTCTCGTTCTTACACACCAGGAACTCGATAACAGCACGTTGTGTCTGACGAACGTCAAGGACATCAGGCATGTTTAACGAATGATACACACGTGCCGCTTGTGGGAGAAGGATAAACTAAGTTTGAATAGAAACGGGACGAATGTATCTGTGTTTTGTGAGAATAGAAAGACGGTAGGATGAAAGGGGATTTATTTTTAATATGGTGCATTACTTTTGGAGTGGCCCTCGTAGAAACCAGTCGCCTGTTACAAGCATGACGGGATAGTTCAGCGGCATCACTGAGACTTGCGACTTCATTGTCTACTAGCGGTTGCCATATTTGGCCGCAGACAACCTGTTTTTTTTCCTCAAACGACAATAAAGAGAGATGAATGCCCTTGGATATGGAAGCCCTCGTTAAGAGTACATCTCAACGTAAAGACGGGCAGCAGCTGAACTGTTACACTGCTCCTCCGTTCACCAGGAACGTACTGGTTTTCAAACAAGCGTCTGGTATGAGTAGCGAAGGGTTTTAACTAGATGTGAACAAATTCTCGGTCATACCGCCATTCTGAGAACATCGTTTCGCAACACCAGGAAGTTAATTTTTTCGAAGCTGGGAAGACATATTTTCTGGGTGTGAAACTCAGCAGGCACTTATGCCTCTCGGAACCAGTTATGTCTACCCTTCAGTGAGCATTGTCCTTATTCAAGTCTCATCTGCACTGATCAATACGTTGTTGGAATTAGGAATGTGCGTTTCGCCACGATACTGAAGATTTAGAGTTAAACCTGCCAACTTCTTCCTTACTGAAAGCTGCTACTCTGTTCAGAGAAATGTCTTTTGGTTTTTGAGTACTCTGATATGGATGTCTCGTGACAAAACCTGCTATTCAGTTTTCACCAAATATAAGTTGTTTTCGAGACGACTTTTTGTACTTATATTATTGACTTTTTCGCAGTGGTGTTTTCCCATAAAATAAATTTGCTAGCAGAAGTGCACGGCTTGCAGGGTTTTTATCATCGTGTGAAGTGAAGGCATTTTATAGATTCGGATAGACCGTAACATTTTCCTACTTTACGTCCATCTCAGACAGAGTGAGTCGATAAACATCCGAATCGATTGTCCACCGGCTACAGCTCGCAGGGTTATCTCCAATGCTTCCATTGCCCAGACCTTGTAATTTAAAGTAATGCTAATAATACTGTGTTAATAAAATTAGTACTTTGATTTTACTGTGTGGCGCATTGTCGCTCAGCAAAGTGGTAATGCCAATCGTCACGCAAGCCATTACAATTTCTGTATAAACACGCGTAACATTCGTGCGCTTTCACTGTAACTGCCCCTTCAGAGTCGTCTGCCCAGCACGGTTACACCTTTAATCTGTGCCTGTTGATATCGGCTGGATGCCGTCCTTTCAGAAAATATTAAACTGATGAATCATAATGATTAGGACTGGATGTTTAAATTAAAG